CAAAAAACTTAAAAAATTGGAAGGCAAGGGAAGAGTCAAAGTGAAAAATGGGGAGCAGGGGTTGTCCTGTCTGCCCAAAGGTTACAGGACCAGCTGGACATATGTTTGGGGGAGTGAGCTGAAACATCCAGCTAAGGGCGTCATAGCTTTTTTATTCAATAGAGAAGTCAATAGACAGTCACTGAGAGTTCATTTGCATGGAAACATTTTTAGGAAAACAAATCTAATAGTTTATAAAGGCTAAATAGACTGAGAGTGATGGCCAAAGAAGAAGTATACAAGGAAAAGTAAAGAGACCTCAGAAAGAAGATTGGAGGATGCCAAATGTGATAGGAATGGATAAAAACAATTGAAGAAGCAAAGGAGATACCATCAGAGAGGTAAGAGGAGAACCAAAAGGAATTTCAAGGAAAGGGTGGCCACTGGAGCCATAAATACACTGGTAATCTGCATATAGACATGGACTGTGTCTATTTTGCTCACTGCTCTATCCACACTACTTAGATACTCTCCATCAAGGTATAGGAGCTCAATAAATATCTTTTAAAGGAATGATCATAATAGTAATTTGGAAAAGATCTCAGATGTCTAGTTCAGTACCTTTACCTGATACATGAATGCTCTGAACAATATCAGTTTTACCATGGTACTTTGGGCAGAGGTTTGGGGAAAATGGCAATCATTACTTTCTTTTTTTTTTTTTTTCTTTTTTTTTTTTTGCTCAAGAAACTGAAATCTAAATCATTACTTTCTGAGGCAACCCAATTTATTGTCCACTAACTCATATTCTTAAGAATACATTTCTTGGCCGGGTGCGGTGGCTCACACCTGTAATTCTAGCACTCTGGGAGGCCGAGGTGGGCGGATTGCTCGAGGTCAAGAGTTCGAAACCAGCCTGAGCAGGAGCGAGACCCCATCTCTACTATAAATAGAAAGAAATTAATTGGCCAACTATTACATATAGAAAAAATCAGCTGGGTATGGTGGCGCATGCCTGTAGTCCCAGCTACTCTGGAGGCTGAGGCAAGGAGGATTGCTTGAGCCCAGGAGTGTGAGGTTGCTGTGAGCTAGGCTGACGCCACGGCACTCACTCTAGCCTGGACAACAAAGCGAGACTCTGTCTCAAAAAAAAAAAAAAAAAAAAAAGAATACATTTCTTATATTGAGCTGTATCCTTGTAAACTTCTATTCTCTGGAGCTACATAGAAAAAGTCATATTCTTCTTCCACGTTACCCTTCCAAAATCTAGGAAACCCATCCAGTTCCTTCAACTATTCCTACCAATAAGAGTTACTGTTTATGGTGAGCTTATTATGTTCTAGGCATAAACATTCATGGATCTTATTTAACCCTTACCACAACCCTAAGTGTTAAGCACTATTTTATCTCCATCTTACATATAGGAATATGAAGATAAGTAAAATCACACCACTTCTCAAAATCACATGACTAATAAGCTACAGAGATGGGATATGAACTCAGGCCTGACTGATGCCAGAACCTATACTCTCACCAAGGAAGTTTATGCAATTTCAAATTTCCTCACTCTCCTCCTCCTATGGTTTGAATATGTCCCCCAAGTTCATGTGTTGGAAATTTAATCCCTCTGTCCTCATTAATGGATTAATGAGGGCTCTGTTTTAATGACTGGATTAATGTCACTATCACAGGAGTGGGTTCATTATCACAACAGTGGATTCATTATAAAAGCGAGCTCTCTCTCTGTCTCTCTCGCCCGTTCACCCTCTGCCATGATGCCCTCTGCCATGTTATGACATAGCAAAAAGGCCCTCACTAGATGACAGCACCATGCTCTTGGACTTCTCAAGTTCCAGAACTATAAGCTAACTAAACCTCTATTCTTTATAAATTACCTAGTCTATAGTATTCAGTTATAGCAACAGAAAATAGATTATGACACCTCTGTATCTATTCTGGTCTATCAATGTCTCTCTTAAAGTGTGATCCCAGAATTCTAGATGTTGTTGGGTCAGTGCAGAGTGAAAATCTTTTCTCCTATATTACAGACATTCTACATTTACTAAAATAGCCTAAAACTGAATTAGCATTTTTTTAAGTAGCCTCATTTCCCTGTTGAATCTTACTGAGCCTGTACTAAACTAAAATTCCTAAGACTTTTCCACATGGAGTAGAAAAAATATGCCAGAAATACCCTCCTCCTTCTTTTCTTTGTTAATCTTCAAGAGTCAGGCCAGACTTCCCCTCATCCATCATATCTCCCTGAACAGTCTAGCTTTCAGGGATTGCTACTTTCCAGGAATTTGCCTTATACTTTGGTATGCTAGTTGGCACTAGTCATAGGCAGGCTTGCACCATAATTATCCCAATATAATTATGTCTAACTTCCTTGAGCTCTTTATATATAAATGCCACCCCTCAATATAGTAGCATTTCTGACGTGTGTTTTCTGCTACTGGCTATAAATAAAAAGAGCTGGGAAGAACATAAGAGTGAGCCTTTTCACTCCCTGCCTGTTTTTGCTTTGTATATTAACAGTTACAAACAAATAAATAAAGAAAAACTGGATAATTTCAAAATGCTATACAAGAAACCACATACAGTAAAGGTGAGAACACTGGCTTAAATCAAGAGAGGAGGTAGTTGTCAAGGAAGAAAATCAGGCTCACTCCAGAGACACTGGAAAGCTACAGAATGATATTGGCTCAGCCACACATTCCTAAGGACTGGTCCTAGCCAGTCCTGTACTGTACTCCAGCCTAGGTGACAGAAGTAAGACCCTGTCTCCAAAAAAAAAATTTTTTTAAGTCAGAATAACATATAACTCCAGAGAACTCCCTTCTCTACTCTCTAAGTCTACTAAAACATTGAGTCTTAGGAATGAAGCTGGTAAAGGATCTCTAATAGTATACGTACTGATATAAGTTAATATAGCTTATAAATTTAGATTTAAATGAGTAAATGATTGATGGACTAATAAAAAATGTAAATCTAAAGAAGTTATATGATTAATAGACCTATTTAATTATAAGGAAAGTAAAATCAGCAAAATTTTAAATTATTAAATTGGCAATAATATGATCATCAACAAACTAATAGTAATAGTAAAAGTTGCATTTTTGCAACTTAGTCACTTGCAAAAATGTTTTTAAATGGGCTGACCAAGAAAGGAAACAGAATGAAGAAAGTGAAACAGGAACTCACCAGAGAGAATTTCCCATTTTATAGTTTAGTGTTGGGTTGAGATTTTGTAAATGAGATTCCTATCTTTTTCTTCTTATTTATCCCCAGATCCCAGCAGAGTCCAGTGCCTGGGAAATTCTCAGTAAATGTTGAATGGAATTGAACTATCATTATGACAGCCTTTCATAGCTGGTAAATTAGTTTTAATTTCTGCTAAATGGCAGGGGGCACAGGGAATAGAATGTTGAATTATGTTCTCTTTTGTGTAGAAAAAATTTAAATACAAGTGGTTTCAAGGTATTTTATTAAGCATTTATTCAAATGCAATGCTATTTGTACAGGTCCAATTTCTTGGTTTTACTTTTAGGGACCCGTATGTTTATAATATATTGATTGAGAGGAGCAATAGTATGTGAACTTTAGCACCAGATCAACTGGGTCCAAACTCCAGCTGTGTGATTTTGGGCAAGTTACTTAACTTCTCTGTACCTCACTTTATTCATCTAAAAAATAGAGATAACAATAGTATAATACTTATCTTTACTTTTCTGTGAAACATGTTTAAAAAAAAAAATAGTACCTAAATCATAGGGTTGTTCTGAGAAGTTACAGGTAAAGTGATAAGAACAATGTCTGATAGAGTGAGTAAAGTGTAATATGTACTATCATTATGATTACTTTTCAATTGCTTTTCTAATTAACTTGAAGACAGTATTTTGCCTATGAACAACCTGGCATAGTTAAACCTTTTTTATGAGAATATGAACACTAACCACTTCACTTGAATTCCAAGCAAGAATTATTTACTAATATGCTACTTACACTAACTGATTAATTTTCTTCTGCTGCTCCTTGGATCTTCTGTAGTTTAGCAACTTGCTTTGTGCTGGTGTGTCAACACCTATGTTTTCTGGGGGATGAACAATGGGGGGTAACTTCAAGTTCAGAGCCTCCTTTTCTGCTGCAATGGCAGCTTTGTTTGGATCTGACATCTTGGTCCCCTAAACAGTCCATAAAGCCATTATTGTAAAAGCAAGCCTCTATATATTTATAACATGTCTTACATAACAATACCAAAAATAAAATTCTGAACCTTTTTAGATCTTCTTCCCAAGTGTGGTATTGGTCTAAAGAATGGCAGTTGAGATAAGTGAGCAGGAATTCATACAACCCACTTGCTGTGAAGAAATGAGCCAGTCTCTCCCTTTTAGGGCTTCGGTTTCCTACTGGATGAAATTAAGGAACTGAATTAGATGCTCTCTAAATATCCTTATGCAGCCCTAAAATTCTAAGTTCAAATTTTCCCTAGATGCAATTCACAAACAACAAAATCCAGTTTGTTGAGGGATAATATCCCTCAAAAAAAGCTGATATTTAACATCATTAATACTCTTAAACATCAGTATTGTATCTTAGTCTTGCTACTTTCCTAGAGAGTGATGCTATGATTAAGCAAAAATGCATATACTTAAATGCACAGCAAATCTAAAAATGCCATTACGATGCTCAACAATTTAACTAAGATAACGACTACATTTGCCGCAAATTCCCACAGGATTTGGAGATTCCTGCCTCGAAAGACAGTATTTCTGCTGACACTCAAATCGAGATGCCCGCCCTGGGAAGGAGACCGAAAAGTACCTGTCTGATTGTTCTGACGGTTTCAGACGAGAGGGAAGCATTCAGACCTCCTCCTCTCGTGGAAGAAAGGGGGATAGAGAGGGGCGAAACCGTCGGAAACGCCACCAGCTCCCAGGGCGTAGCTGGAGAAGGGCGGCGCCGACCGGGCAGAAACAGGCGTCGTTGCCACGGAAACCGTCGGTCGCAGCCGGAAGGGCCGGACGAAGGTTGCCTGGAGAGGTAGTTGCTGAGCTGCGACAGATTAACATTACCTGTCACAACAATAATTTATTATTCGAGTAAATGGAGTGTGGGTGAATGAGATTTTTTTGCCTAACTGCCTTCTCTGGGATGGGGTCTAGGAAATCAGGATCTTCAAATTATGGAAAACTGCAAGACTGGAAATTGGAGCCATTGGAAAATAAATAGATTTAGGTAAACACTCACTCTCAGAGGAGAATCAAATCTTCAAATGTCCCCTAGTGACTTCCTGTAAATATTGTAACTAATCAACCATATAATTTATCTTGGTTCTATTTTTGCTATTTGTTTATACAGCACCTTCAGGAGATCCTTGGCAAAATCAGATTAAGCTGTGTGAACTTTGTGAGTATGCTGGAAGACAGAAATGTGAAATTTTGCTATTTGAAGCTGTGTACTTTATACTACATCTAAATGACAACAGCCTATATGAATACTATGTGCCTAAGTAAAACTGAGGAGGGGTATTAAATAAATCCTGCTGGTGGATTAATAGCATATTCATTCAACAAATGTTTGAGCACCTTCTATGTGCTAGTTACCATGCAAAGAATTTTTTTGTTTTAACGAGAATACAGGCCAGGCACATGACTAATGCCTGTAATCCCAACACTTTAGGAGGCCAAGGTGGGAGGATTGCTTGAGGCCAAGAGTTCGAGACCAACCTGGGCAACATAACAAGACCCCTGTCTCTACAAAAATGAAAAAGAGAGAGAATACAGCCTACACTATTGTGTCTGGCACACGGTGGGCCTGATTCAGTCAGTGTAAATCCTTTTAAAAAGTTTTAGGCATGCCCTGAGTCAGATTCCGAACAGCAGCTGGATCTACAATTGCTCTCCCCTCTCTAGATCTTTCCATCCTGACATACTGCCTTATAGACCTTATAGTTGCTTAACCAGATCCCACAATTGCATAAGCCAATTCCTTATAATAAATCCACACACACATGCATATATATTTTTAAATTTTTAATTATTATGGGTACATGTGGTGTTTTGATACAGCCATACAATGTGTAATGATCAATTGAAGGCAATTGGGATATCCATCACCTTAAGCATTTATCACTTCTATTAGGGACATTCAAATTTCATTCTTTTAGTTATTTGAAAATATACAGTAAGTTGCTATTAACTATAGTCACTCTATTGTGCTACTCTATTGAGCTAGCTAGAATGCTAGCTCTTACTCATTTTATCTAACTGTATTTTTGTACCCATTAATCATCCCTACTTAATCCCCCACTCCAGCTACCTTTCCTAGCCTCTAGTAACCATCATTCTACTTTCAGCCTCCAAGAGCTCCATTTTTTATTATTATTTTTTTATCTTTGGTTCCCACATATGAGTGAGAACATGTGAAATTTGTCTTTCTGTGCCTGGCTAATTTCACTTAATATAATGTCCTCTGGTTCTACCTACATTGTTGTAAATGACAGGATTTCATTCTTTTTTATGACTAATATTGCATTGTGTATATGTACCACATTTTCTTTATCCATTCATCCATTGATTCCATGTCTTGGCAATTGTGAACAGTGCTGAAATAAACATAGGTATATAGATATCTCTTCGATATATTGATTTCCTTTCTTTTGAATGTATATCCAGCAGTGGGATTGCTGGATCATAAGGTAGTTCTATTTTCAGTTTTTTGAGGAACCTCCACACTGTTTTCCATAGTGGCTGTACTAATTTATATTCCCACCAACAGTGCAAATGGGTCCCTTTCTCCACATCCTTGCCAGCATCTGTTATTGCCTGTCTTTTGAATAAAACTCATTTTAACTGAGGTGAGATGATAGCTCATTGTGTTTTTGATTTGCATTTCTCTGATGATTAGTGATGCTGAACAATTTTTCATATACTTGTTGGCCATTTGCAGGTCTTCTTTTGAGAAATTTCCATTCAGATCTTTTACCTATTTTAAAATTTGATTTTTTTTCCCTCTTGAGTTATTTGAGGTCCTTATATATTCTGGTTATTAATCTCTCTTCAGATGGATAGTTTGGAAATATTTTCTCCCATTCAGTGGGTTCTCTTCACTTTGTTCATTGTTTCTTTTGCTGTGCAGAAGTTTTTCAGCTTGATGCAATCAAAATTCACTAAATACATAATTCAGTGATTTTAAAATAAATGTATAGAGTCATGTTAACCTTTACCAAGATCCAGTTCTAAATATTTCCCTCACTCCAAAAAGTTCCCTTGGGCAGTAAATCCCTGATCCCACTTCCAGCCCCAGGCAACCATTGATCTGCTTTCGGTCTCTACAGCTTTGCAATTTCTGGAAATTTCATGTAAATGGAATTATATATTACAAAGTCTTTTGTGTCTGGCTTATTTCACTTAATGTTCATTATCATTAAGAATCATTATAATCAATGAATTATAATGTTCATTATAATGTTCATTTGAGGTTCAACCATGTGTAGTATATATTAATAACAAAAGTTCATTTCTCTTTATTGCTGAATAATATTCCATTGTATGACTATATTACATTGGGTTTATCCATATACCAGATGATAGTCATTTGGATTGCTTCCAATTTCAGCTATTATGGGTTTCTTTTTCTTTTATATCCTATTTTTACATGCAGTTTTTGGCTATTATGAATAGTGCTGCCAGGAATACATGTGTACAATATTTGTCTTTGGATGAACATACATTTTCATTTCTCATGGAGAGAAACATAGAAACTTTATTGCAGGTGCAGGGGACCCTTGACTCTCTCTCAAGTTCAGCGAACTCTCAAGGTTTGCTGAAAAATCAACTCACAGAAGATTTACTCGAGAAAAGGCATACAAATTTACTTAATTTGTATACACCAAAACCTTCAGAATGAAGACTCAACCCCTTAGTGGGGTACAGGAACTTATATCCCATCTTGAGTTTACAGAAAGAATAGGGTGCTTGGATCCTAGCAAAACAGGTTATGGGAGGAGGAAGAAGAAATCTGTTGAGAGGCAATGATTACTAGGGAGAATTCAATGGACCTAAAGAACATACAGTGATCTAGGGCAAAGTCTTTTGGGCCCACAGAACAGATAATGGTCTGTGACAAAAATTTGTCCACATTTGTTGACAAACTTTAGACTTCCTCCATATGATATGGGTTCAGTTAATGAAAGCTCAAGGATGGGACCAGAGGTAATTGTTTTCTTCTTTGGTAGATTCAGACTTTTGGGCAGATAAGAAACTTCAGAAAACAACTTTATCGTATGGTTTGGGAGAAACTTTGAGGCTCCTTTATCAATTCAGCATGTATAAAGCAGCATATTTGGGGGTATCAGTTTCTGAGCACCAACACAGGGTTAAATGGTAAGTCATTTTTAACAAACTGCCAAATTGTTTTCTAAGACAGCTGAAAGATTACATTCCTCCCAATTTCTTCACACCCTTTCAACCACCTAGTATTGTCTTTTTTTTTTTTTTTTTTTTTGAGACAGAGTCTCGCTTGTTGCCCAGGCTAGAGTGAGTGCCGTGGTGTCAGCCTAGCTCACAGCAACCTCAAACTCCTGGCTCAAGCAATCCTCCTGCCTCAGCCTCCCGAGTAGCTGGGACTACAGGCATGTGCCACCATGCCCGGCTAATTTTATATATATATTAGTTGGCCAATTAATTTCTTTCTATTTATAGTAGAGACGGGGTCTTGCTCTTGCTCAGGCTGGTTTCGAACTCCCGACCTCGAGCAATCCGCCCGCCTCAGCCTCCTGTCTTTTTTATTATAATCATTCTAGTGGGCGTATATTGTGTTATCTGTGGTTTTAATTTGCATTTCCCTAATGATTAATAATGTTGAGCATCCTTTAGTGTGTTCATTAGCCATTAATATATCTTTCTTTCTTTCTTTCTTTTTAGAGATAAGTTTTCCCTCTGTCACCCAGACTAGAGTGCAGTGGCCTGATAATAGCTCACTGTAACCTCAAACTCCTGGGTTCAGGTGATCCTCTAGCCTCAGCCTCCTGAGTGACTAGGAATACAGGTATGTGCCACCATGCCCCCCTAATATTTTATATTTCTGTAGAGACAGGGTCTGGCTATATTGCCCAGGCTGGTTTCAAACTCTTGACCTCGAGCAATCCAGACCCAATATATCTTTTTTGATGAAATGTCTATATAAACCTTTTGTCCATTTAAAAACTGGATTATTTTTAACTTTTTATCGTTCAGATGTACAGGTTTTTTTTATATATTCTTGATACAAATCCTTTATCAGATAATTTGCCAGGGATAGGAAGTGTTAGATTGGGCAATCTTGCTCTGTGTTCTCAGTTCTTGGTGTGCTCAAGGCCAAAGAATGACCAGACATGACAAAGTAAGGCAAGCATGAGGTGAAATTTATGGAGGCAGAGCAAGATAGACTTACCCAGCAAGAGCAAGATATAGGTTTACAGAGCAAGATACATTCCTCACAAATGACAACCAGACCCCCTTGTCACAACAAAAAGGGCTTGGTTATGGTCTGGGTCTTGTTTTAAAATGTCTGGATTGAGACCTCCCTCAGACATCATCATGGAACCACTTTGGGCAGTTGGGAATTATATTAATATGACCTGAGTCTTACTGCCCATGAGGATCTCCCAGGAATCTCCCCAAAAGCCCACTGGAGGAGTGAACTACAACGGCACACACTTTCGTTCTAGGAAACCTAGAATCCCTTGCTATCTACCTAACAAAAGGATACTTTTTTTCACTGTGGGTATGTTTATCTCTTTCCAAAAAAAATTTTTTTTTTTTTTTTGAGACAGAGTCTCGCTGTGTTGCCCAGGCTAGAGTGAGTGCCATGGCGTCAGCCTAGCTCACAGCAACCTCAAACTCCTGGGCTCAAGCAATCCTCCTGCCTCAGTCTCCCGAGTAGCTGGGACTACAGGCATGCGCCACCATGCCCGGCTAATTTTTTCTATATATATTAGTTGACCAATGAATTTCTTTCTATTTATAGTAGAGACGGGGTCTTGCTCTTGCTCAGGCTGGTTTCGAACTCCTGACCTCGAGCAATCCGCCCGCCTCGGCCTCCCAGAGAGCTAGGATTACAGGCGTGAGCCACCGCGCCCGGCCTCTTTCCAAAAATATTAAAACACCAAAAATAAAAAAGAAAGAAGTGATACACTTTTAAGGCATATCTCAAAACCAGGATTAACACTCTGCCATGGGCTTAAATTAGATCCATTTGCCTAAAGGAAAGTCACATTTTCTATAGAGCTTTCATTAAATAGGTTAATTTAAGATTAAGTTCTGAAAGGTTGCTTGAAGTAAAATGCTAGGGATAAGAAGAATAAATACCACTTCAAAATTCATATTTGCTAATGTGGGTCCTATAAACTAGAGTGTTGTTGAAGCTGCAAAGGGGTTTTGGTATAGATCAAGTTGCTCCTCACACAAAAATCCCAACTATTAAGACAAGGAGGATTGCCAAAGAAGAAAGGAATTTGGAATATGTCTTGCAGGGACAATGGGAGAAGTTGCCTGAAATCAGTCTCTCTAAGGGATTGGAAGTGCTTTTA